AACAAGATATTGATGGTGAATGTTGATGACCTGTTCTCGTGTTTCGTGTGCCGTGAAATTCGAAATCTCGTTCTATATCAGTTGTCTCATATAGCAACGAGATTTGTGGATATACTATATATCTCATAAATCATATAGCTATCTTCTTTAGAAATTTATGTTTCTCATATAATACATATATCTTATATACTATGAAAGATATATGACATAGTATCACATAGTATCACATATTATCACATAGTATATAAAATATTTTAAATACAATACATATCTTATACATAATATAAATACAAATTAAACCTTTAATGTAATTTATGAATATGCTAGTAATATTTTGTTTTTGTTATGTTTCAATATTACGAATGTTAAGGTACTGCACTAATTGTATCTATTGTTGATATGAGCGGGCGGTATCCATTAGAAGGAGGTGAGAAGGTCAAAAGCCGAATGAATTTGTGGCTATTTTAGCACCCTATATAAGAACGTGCACTAGCTGACCATAGGTCACAAGCCTGCTGAAGATGATGGAAGAGCAAGGTGTGCACCTTTTTTTTTACACCATGATCTAATCTATGTGCATTCGTTGATGGTTCCAAACCTTTCGTGAATTTGATTGGAGACATTCCAGAAACACGATCAGTGTTATTCAATAAACTATTTACTGGGGAATTTTCATCCAGTCAACTTTCGTCTTTCGCCGGAAAAATCCATATTCTCCCTGTGTTACGTTCTCTGTTATTATTTCGTTTACTAATGATACATTCTGTCATGACACATTCACCCTAATTACGCGGGGCGATACAGGTGCAAATTAAAGTGTAGCAAACATGTTCCCGTGTACAGTATAAGAGTGTGCTGTGGAGGCTGATGATATCACTGTAAACTTTAAAAATTAATTACTTTATCCCGACCAAGCTTATCAGTTCACCTTGAAAGGTTAAACGCTTGGTCAACAAAACACATATAATAAATCTATTTAATTTTCACGCTGGACCGTCAAATATAGCAGACGACATATGTTGTACCACCAATTCTTGCTACTAAATACAGACATTTATACCTATATTTTAGTTAATTACCAGAGTGGCAATTAACAAAAAAGTCACTTGTTCAGGAAATTGAACAACAATGGTATCAAGCCTACAATCAGGCCTCACAACATACAACCAAAGATACATAGTAAGACCGCAAAATGCGTTTACAAGCGAAGGGTGGGGTCGAAATTTGGCCCACCACTTTGAATCTTTTATTCTTTCGCCATATGTAGATACATAAAAATTATCAATAACTGCATAAATGATTACTCCTAATTACTACTGATAACCGTAGAAGACCTCCTTGCATAACACCAGGATGAGTGACGGAAGCATCCTAACAAAATGTCAGATAAATATAACAGGGGAATGTTATTTTGAAAATGAATTATGATAGTGTATACAGAATAAAATTACTGTTATTTGGATATTAAATATGTCATATTGGTATACATGAAGTAAGCTTAGTGATACTTTTGATTAGAAAAACATGCTAAAAATTCACAAAATTTAAAATATAGCCAACATTGTCAACTTGCCTATATATAGTTACAATGGTAGTCTATATTTCAAACTTCTTCAAAAACTTTCCATATATATATTCTGTCTAAAAAATCATTTGTATGTAATATCAAAACCGGAAAAGTACTTAACATGCCAAACATGATCAATGACCAATTTCACATGATCATGGAAATTTGATTATCAATGTTTATTATGGTAAATACCGATACAATTTCTGTTTTTGTATCATACCAAAACACTTTATTATATTATGCATGTTTTAAAGTTATGTACAGCAGTAATAACCCATGAATATGTATTCTGCCAAAGTAATCTTTCCTCTGGAGAACTACTTCAGGTTGAGATTGTGTTATAGACAAAGATATGCAATTATATATAAACAATAAAATCATCTTAATAGTAAACTATTATGCACTTTATTATATCCCCTGCAACGAAGTTAGGGGGTATACTGGAATCAGCTTGTCTGCCAAAGTTTGTCCGGACAACTCCTTCTAAAGTCAAATTAGACAAATTTCAACGAAAGTTCCCGGATATGATAACAACCACCTGATATTGTGAATCCAGGTATTTTTTTTTTCAATCTGACCCCTTTTACGAAGTAATAGCCCTTTGTTGAAAAAACTCCTTTAAGACTATGTGGCCTATTTCAACGGAAGTTTACAGATACGGTAACTGCCCCCTGACATTATGCATCCAAGTAGTATGTTTTTATTCCGACCCTTTAAAAAGGAGTTACTGTCCTTTGTTGAAAAAAACCATTTGTGTGTCTCATTAACTACTTGGCCGATTTTAATAAAAGTTTACTACAGATATGGTAATTACCCCCTGATGTCGTGCATCAGGGTATCATTTTTTAATTTCAACCAATTTTAGGGAGTTATGGTATTTTGTTAAAAATCTTTGTCTTGACAACTCTTCCTTTACTACTAGGACGATTTTAGCAAAACTGGTTCATCAAGACTAGGAAGATTTGCAAGTATGTTTTGGCATCGGGAGGGAGTACAGGAAGTATATCAGTGACCTTTATACATAAATAATTACTGGTGGTGGACTATGGATTGCTTTGCAATACTTTGCCTTAGTTTGCCTTTATCTTACAGTTCTGGTTTATATAGGAGCGAAGGTCCATGTATTAGTTAGCCTTTGGCTTACAGTTCTAGTTATTATTTTATTTTGCCTATTGTCCATTCATTAAACAAAGTATGTAGGAATTTTAATTCTAGACAAATAAAACAAGGAAAGCTAATCTTGACTCCCCTTACAATTATTTATTTTAGTACATTAGATTTTTGTGACTTAAACGAATGTCAAGGTTATCATTACAAACCTTAAACCCATTCACATAAACAACCTACTTGCCAAATATCAAGACTCAAGGACCTTTGGTCATGAAGAAACACAAGTTTTTCACATATTTTTTAGATAATTTTTCAATAAAGAGAACAATTCTATCTTGAAATAGTGTAATATTCGGTATCAAAATAACAGTTGGAATATATTGCTCAAGATAATAATATTATTTACAGATATTGTGTCATTTAAATGCTCTAAAAGAATTTGTATTACCGCACCTTTAATACCCACACAGGTGAAAGTCAATGAGGTCCCATTTATCATAAAATGAATTCTGAAACTGACTGTTCCTGATTTAAGCTTCCTATACCAATACCTTTTTAGATTTATCTTGTTTTGAAATTCCAAGCGGGGCCGACGCTAATGTTAAATCTCCATAGGCGTTAACCCTACCTTTGACAAAATTGAAGATCCATGGCCTTAGTCTCTGGGCTATAAATAACCCCTAGAACTGAAATCCGTATTCCGGGTGTGCAGAAAAGGCTTTACAATTGTATGCAGATAAATATCGGGGAACAAAAATGTCATCAGTATCGTTTTAGTAGTTCACGAAGTGTTACTGCCAGAAGAATGAAAATATTTGAGGAAAAAAGTTTAAACGACCAACAACATAGGTTTGTCTAGTTATGCATTTCATAAATAAATGAATGAAGATAACACAATTATATATTATTGAATTATTGCTTACGTAACCTGCCAAGACAGAATTGGTACACAACAAATTCATTTTGCAGTTTCAGGCTCTTCAGTAACATTTCCAGAGAACTAGTTGGCCCTTGGCCTCTTGTTATCATAGCGGTTACTATTTCTTTGAAATAAAACTTTATACAATAGTCTGTTTTGCCAATTGTTTTGTACGGAATTTGTGCAATTATCAATTTTAGAATAATTTGAACATAATGAAGCTGAAGCTGACATTTGATAAATAAGGGCCTATATTAAATGTATGGAAACAAACAATAGTATGTTTGAGTCACGTTACAATAGTGCTACGGTAGTTTTACTATTGTATGATTTAGGTGACGCACAACAGAAGGTAAGACGTAAAAAGCTACTTTAAATAAATCCAAAAAGAGGACAATTATAAGAACTAAGGAGACATCAACAAAAAAAAATAAAGTGAAATAATCATTCCACTCAAACAAAAACGACTGGGAGGTCAGTTGATTTAGCATAGGAGGGATGTTTTGTTGTTTCTTTTAAAATCCTGGAAAGTATCCATTGGATGAAGACAAATTGAAATATTTCTTTAATCTTGACAGGCACTGACATCCAAGGAAATCAGGTTTCAGGAAACAAAAACGCCTGCAGAATGTATAAATCGTAAATAAAAAAGCGTAACTAAGGTAAAATGAAGCAAGAAAACAACGACAAGAATTCACGAAATATCAGAAATCATCAATTCTAAATACAAGTGGAGTCAAAATCAAAAGTATAAATGTATTCGTCAATTCAAAATGTTGACAAATGTTGTATTTTTGCAGTATATTAAGGAAACATTTTGATTCAAACTTCAAAACGACACAAGTATACATTTTCACCATAACTTGACAAGACAACTAATATTATCGCAACTTTTGTTGATTAGATTAATGAACATATATATTGAAGAAATAGTAAATGGCTCTAAAATTCATGTGTGCAATTTCTATAACGACTTACCTCGAAGATGTTTTATTTAAAATGCCATTTGCTTCATTTAATTGGTACTCTAACTGGTGCGGATATTGATACATAAAATGTAAGTTAAAGCTTAATGATCTATGTTTTGAAACGTTTCATGGTTGTATGATACAACTGACTTACGTCTTCTGATAGGTTTCGTTTTTATAAGAACTCAATGCTAGACCACACGATAAATACAATACAATACATCGTCGATTTGGTGGAGGTTCAAATGTTTTACATTGATATCTAAACATGCTATCATGTAAACAGATCAACAGGCCGGAGGCCTTTGCAAATATGTTACTTGCCTGACCATTGTTTATATTCATAAACGTGTATCATCTGTATATAATTGATGATGAACTGAAATGACTGCCTATAAATAGTGTAACTCCGGAGTGACTAATAACTAAACGTTCCCAAGTGATCTGAAGACCACCAGTACAGGTTTGTAAAACAGTATAGTATCTTCTACATTGTTACACTGTAACAAGTACTTTACCCACTGAATATTGATTTCATCATTGAGACACTGAATGTGTTAAATTATATACAGTTTGTCAGTTCTAATATTGTATGACAAAACCGTTTACAATGAATGATCCGCAAAACAAACAAGCGTAATTACTTTATCTATCCACATATATATATATCGACTTATTCAGAATAGTGAAAATGGATAGCTCATCTAGGTCATAATCATTGACATATTGGCTATCAAAATGTATTAGATGTATTATTTTATATCCAATAATAACATATAATTCACATTTCCCAGGTATTATCCCGACACACTAATCCTCATCATGAAGCTGACATTGGTTTTCTTTGCCGTCTGCGTTTCTGTCGCCCTGACAGCGATTATCGAAGAAGAAGAGAAGCCTGCATGTGCATGCACAATGGACCACACTCCTGTATGTGGTGCTGACGGTAAAACTTATGGAAACGATTGCATGAGAAAGTGCAAGTAAGTATATAGGTTTTTTTGGATCGGGTTGAAACGTTCAGGCTCTTCTTTTTACAGATGAATCTGTTTCAATAACGTATTTTGATTCCACAGCACTAGTTCATATATCTACATATGCATTAAGCAAAGGTTCATGCTTAAGCCATTTTTAAAAACTAAAATATAACTGATTGTTTTTAATTGGTCGATAAAACTACACGTGCATTTTGACCAAAAGCAAAAGATAATAATGATATAAATGTTTAATCGGTACATTTGATTGGAATAACATTAACTTTATCAATCTTTCAATAAACACTCCTTTAAGAACAAAATGACTATAAGCAAGGATTAGAAAAACAATGTAAATTACCTGTTTTGATTGCTTCTTCATAATATAATTTAAGTAAAGGAGGCAGATCCGCGTTATTTACAAATATACAGATACAATACAATGTAATCAATTTTGGTGAAAATTGGTTCGAATGAATCTACATTATTACTCCGTATACTATACATGTTAAAAACTATAACTATAATCTTAAGTAATATACACTTTTCAGCGATGTCCGCCTGCTCCACAGTGGAAAGTGTGAAAACGACCTGTGTGTCTGTACCATGGACTACGAGCCTGTCTGTGGTGATGATGGAGTAACCTACACTAACGACTGCAGCAGAGAATGCGCGTATGTATACATACATAACAACACTGATATAAGTCTTCAGTGGTATATGTATCTGACAAGTTCACATTACATCATTTGATTTTGTCGAAAACTATTTTCTCGAATATGCCTAAAGCGACTTTTTTTCAAATAAATTTATTAAAACATTATAAGTGCATAATTAGCTTGTTTTACGGAATCTGAATAAACACAAAATGCGGTATTTTAAAATTTTCTACTTATGCGATTACATGCAAAACACGCTAAAGTAAACATATCGGATATGATAACCGATTTGTAGTACAAAATGGTCGACCATTTACACTTCATTATGGTAATACAGATACTTGGCTAATATATGTATGTTTGACATATCTTTAGTTGAGAATATGTTGATTTTACACAAAGTACGGATAAGTTAAGTGTTTAATTTTCCAAACACGGATATGCATAAGATGTCGCATTTCCTTTGTTTTTTCTGCGAGTACTAATACATATCAGATAAACTTGATAAATATATAAAATGCATAGTTATGACATTTTAAACTTGTATTACGAACTTATAGTTGGCTTGGTCTACAATATATATTGATATGTACGATAGAGAATAGTTTTCTAAAATAACTTCCTAAGTGTGTATGATAGAGACATGGAAGGCATGCGTGTCGATAAATACATTTTTTACACGGTGTTTTGCAATCGCAAAATGCGACAACAATCCAATTATGTGTAACGAAAAGTCAAAATTTCACATATCACTGATGAAAGACAATTAATCCTCTTTAAATTTCCTTTAATATTTGAATAAACCTGTGTGGAGAAGCTTCGGAATGAGAAATATTCCTTCCTCGGCTATGATAATATCTTTTTAATTTGAATTGATTGTGAATTATTTGTTTACATCTCCTCTAAAAGATAACATAAGCTACATTGCATAACAATAAGTATGTGATCTGAGGCTTGTATGATAATTGCAGTAGATTTCTATGCACAGTTCAGTATCATAAGTAAAAAAATAATATAGTAATTATTAGAACACTGACTTGCTTTTTATATAAAGTTTACGAAATATTGATCGATTAATGAATTAATATAAAACAAATGTATTTTATTTCATGTAACTAAATGTATTGCATTTCTAACATACATCCGTATTCATTTTCTAGGGGGTCCAATAATGCTCACGATGGTATCTGCGATGATTCCAAATAGCGGACCTCTGTGACGAAGAAAGCCTGACTCCCGCATGATTAACACAACGAAATCACAAGCATACGTGTCCATTGCTTTATCCAGCCTGACTTTTGGCAGATGTATTCACATACGATTATTATCAATCATACATTCAATTTAATGTTATAATTCACACAGTAAATCAGGATTTATTAATTAAAGTTAAAATGATTGGAACAAATCCTGTCTCTGATTTGTTTATTTAATACCTGTTTTTCAGCTTTTATCATTATAAGTATTCTCTTTATTCTCGCCCGATCGAGGATTTACTTAAGCACTGAACTGTTTTTGTATGGTATTTATGATCTATTTGAATGACACAGCTTTGCAAGCAAACAAATCCTAATGCGCGCTAATATATCATAAATACCATATAAAAACAGATCAATACTTATATTTGCGTTTTCTCTACGTCTTATGTCCTTTTTTCACTTATAATTTATATTTAAAATTAAAAACGCCCGCCTTATCGACAGTCCACACAACTTCGTTCAATAGGTTGAACAGCGAACTGTCGTGTGCTGATTGGTAAACAAAGTAGTACTTTGAAATTTCAACAAACACTTCAATTTTATTCCACAATTCAGTATCAATACAAATGCGTATGATATGTTTAAAGGGTGATTTAAGTTTATCAATAGAACTCTGAGCTGAAAGTTAGATTCTAAATTGTTTCGATTTTCCCCCGGAACAAATTTCACACAAGGACAAATACAGTGAACACCGTAAATCCGACCTTGCCCTCATCAAGGGAGTTATTTTTGGAAGGTAATTCGAACTTTTCTCTTTGCTAATTTTGTGAAGAATCCAGGCGTGAATTTATTTGTAGATTGTATTGGAACCTGACAACAGTCAGTAGATTCTATAACAGCCTCGTTATTTGACATGTCGTCAGAAACTGAGGAACCGTGGATTCCAGACGCGTGAAACTGATAGCGTTTGAAGTGAGTGATCTTGCGACGGAGCAAAGGTTCGTTACACATTTCTGAAATGTTTATGTGTGCTGTGACTCATATCAGTAGGTCTGTAACATATGTGTCAGTAGGTCTTTAGAATATGTGTTTTTCAGACATTTGTAACGAACCCCTGTTGATTAGTGCAGTGTAACAGCCGATATTTCTGATAAATTGCATGAGCGTTAAAATTGTTTCCATTGCCGGCATTGGTGATTTAAACCTATGTGCATTTTGTACGATATTGCAGACGTTGGTCTTGTTTTCGTTGTAATAAAGGTGTTTTTTTATTTTTTTTATTTTGCACATAAATTTACAATGACATTGTCAAATCTCACAATGCCCAGCGATATTTCAGCAGCCGTCATGTTTATTTATATTGGATATTGTAGTTCCGGTCAGTGTTGTATTAATACGCTAAGAATTGTGTCTCGAGATGCATGGTATTCAAAGTCCCATCAACGACTCAGCTTTCAAAGAGGCTATATAGTGACAATGCCATGCAAATGTAAATACAATGGGAACAATATACTCTGTAAAAAGACATTCATTGAAAATTGACAAAATACCAGCATTATACATTTGTATGTATCAATGAAATTCCATCTATAATCGTATTGCAAAGTTTGGAATCTGGAGTTAACTCCCCTCTGCGTCTCTGCGTGTCTGCGCTCCTTATCTTATCTTCAGGGCTCTCACAACTAAATCATTCAATATGTGTTATTACTAAGCTTTTGAGCTAATAGCGTTAATATTTGAAGTTTAACACTAGTGACAACTGTCTCGATTCAAAGATACATACCTAGCAAAGGATTCAAAAGGCAATTTTTGGTGATTTTGGTGGCATATAAGAGCGCTACAGGCGCCTGCTTTTGCTTTTTACTTCAGTTATCTTTTGACGAACTAAGTAATGCTGATACAATTTCGTTATTGTATACATTATGTAAATTCCAACCTGTACTATTATTCCATGATCTTTTACACGTATTTTGAACAACCTATCATACTGTGATAATTTACCTTTCTGTAAAATTCCCTCTCACACAGCTTTCTGCCAAATAAATCTAGAGTTAGATGGGAATAGACACGTTGTAACATTTAAAGATCAAATTACATTTAGGTGTTTCGACAGGTTTAATGTTATTTACCAGGTCAACCATACTCGATTCAATAATTGCATGGCCAATTTCTGTACAATATCCGTGTTTGAGAGAAAATGTACAAGAGGGGTTGCTGCATTTGTGTTGAACATTTGCAGACATGAAATTAGACCTACCTAATAAGCCCCTCAATGTTCCAACACAAAACTTTCAGTTTAATCAGATCTGTGTTCACAAGGAAATACTGCACCTGGAACCCATGGTCTCGTACTTATGCCGTCGGGCCAAAAGAAAGTCAGCATGCTCTGATAGGATGTTTAACTGTGCCGAAGCTGTGCTCTTCTTACGACGTTTATGTTTGTAACCTTTCTGTTCACTCAACTTGTAGTTTTTGTAAGTGCGTTACACTCCTCTTTCAAATTGTTTATTTTTATGGTTAGCTCTTTGTATTTCTTTGTCAGTTTCCCTGTACACCTCCGGAAAGTGTTGACGGCCTACAACACATGTTAGATGAATTGTTATTATATACTATGAGGTGGTCTCTAACAGTTAACGTTGATTTGTTTTTTTGTAGTTTTCAGAAAATCGGCTGTATTACATGCAAATGAAACATGGCAGTCTGATGGTGTCACACTTGAGTCTGTAAATTCTTTTTCTTATTTGGGGGTAAAACTCAATTATAATGGTAGTTTTAAAATGAACGCAGAAACAATTAGCGTCACAAGGTAGGAAATCTCATTTTTCGTCTAAAAGATCATGCAAATCTATCTTGTTAAATTTCTGCATACCGTTGCCACTTTTTGACACATATGTCGGCAGTGTAGCCGACTACATCTAGAATTTTGTAAGAATATTTTAGAAGTTTGAAAATCTACACCAAACTCAATCATCTATTTCGAACTGGTTAGATATCCTCTTTTCATTTCGAGGAAAATTAGAATTTTGAAGTACTGGTGTAAACTATTGATTTCTAGCAACTGTATTTTAAATGCATGTTATCAAGATATGTACAATGAGTGTGAATCGAACCCATATTGTAAAAATTGGGTGGCTTCTGTTAAACAAGAACTATGTTCTACTGGTATGTCGGAATACTGGAAAGCACGGGGTAGCTTCAATACACATCATGTTTTGGTTTTAGTAAAACAGAGATTGTTAGATATTTCAAAACAAGACTGTGAGAAGTTGGAAGTACAAAAAAGCAATTGTCAAAATACGACTGTCTTCACACATTCTTTTAATAGAGACTGGAAGGCATAGACAAAATATTATCAACCGTTAATATCAAAGAACTAACTAACCTGGGTAGGTTTATATATCATGCATGTTTACTATGTTCTTCTCTGTTGGCTTCTAACTAGTTTGATTTGCATGCTCTTAGTTCATAAAAAGACATCTGTATCTAAATTATAAATTCCATATGCTGATTGTATCTTACAGCCTGTGTTGATTTTGAATGTATATTATGAAATTTCCTTGGAATCGATGAGATTTATATACTCAAAATGAAATAAAGAATTTGAATTTGAATTTGAATTGATGAAGGTCTCGTTTTGGTACCACTACTGTTTCCTTTAACACCTCAATGCCTGGCACTGCTGGGTCTGGTTTGGATTATGCACCATCAGGGCGCTTCTGTGTAACGAACTACGGGTGACCGGTGTTGCTCAGCCGACCCGCACCCCATAATTCAATCTCACAAAGAATAGACTACCGCTTCGCTAGCAGATTCCAATATTGATATATAATATAGATATAGACATAGATATAGACGACTAGTGATAATGGCAGCTCAGACGGAAATATAATTCAACAGTTGATTATGACAGAAAAAAAACCCAGTTTACAACATGCGCAGAGACATAATGGCTAAACTTTGTTTAAACTACTTTACATTAAGCAATTGATACAGATCCTATTAAAACTTTTTTGTACTATGGTTTTCAAAATGTGTATTAATGAGATATTATCTGGCGGCCTCGCTACCAACATGCTCCAAAGTTAACCCTGACATTTTTTTACGTTCTATAAGTGAGCTATGAGCCGACAGTTCTTAGAAACCATCACTAAACGTCCTACAAGATAAACTTCTAGCTCAAAATTGTGTATCTTAGCAAAGCTGAGCGAAGTTTCGATCCTCAGACCTTTGCGACACTCTTCTTACAGTGTATTTTCTATGAATGACAAAACTCGCTTTTCTGGAAAATAAAAGAAAGTGTGGATTTGATTAGTCAAAATATCAATTGGAAAATATTGGATTGTTGAGAGATATCATTTTGAAACGAGATTTAATTACTGGACGCGGTGCATTTCAAGGAAATTATGAAATCATGTCCTATATTTGACATTTGATAAATGGAAAGGATTGAAATAAATTCGAAAAAAAATGTGTATATTAGCAGAGCGAGGTGTCCATCCTTGGACCTCTGGGTTATGGGCCCAGCACTCTTCCACTGCGCCAATCTGCTGATTACGAATATATTAGTAGGAACATTTAGCTGAAGTGGGGCATAAATCGATTGCGTCAGCCAAATTGATAATCACTTAAGGCACATTGGCTTCAAATGACTTGTTAAATAGTTATTCAATAATCTGTATATTGTATAAGAAATGTTAATAAATCACCAATCACTTGGGACTTAAATCTGACCATGTACTTCCTGACTAATCAATTCTTTCTTTAATTATTTTTAACATAACATTCCGATCAAAGATATCACAAGTACTCGCTACATATGTAAGTAAAGGAAATAGGTAGATATTTGGAATGTGATCAATACGAAATCAACATGAGAGATATGATTAATCTAGTTTTGATAATTCCTAAAGGAAAACGATTTTAGATATGTAAATTTCAATGGCTACATGTACTACGTATCTTATTGTCATTTGCAATCAGTTTTATTTTTTTACAATGTTAAACAACATTACTCATTATATCCATGCATGCAGACAAAACTAAGGGAGATGACGTACCTACAGTTTGAGTTTGCTGTCTAATCCTTATTCGTCAACCACATGCGATTTTGTATGAATGATGTTGTACATGTAATTATTGAATTTGAATGTTTTTAAAAGTAACATTGTTTTTCAGTATACACTATCTGTAACTTTGCATTCAATTGTCA